ATTTAATTTTATTCCAGCCATCCGGAGGCTTGTTCTCCTAACTATGCTTTATAGTATGTGTGTATCGGTTTACTCATTTGGATTAGGAACATATTTTGCAAGTAATTCTGACGAGCTCCGAATTCTAGTCTGCGGCAGGACAAAATACACCCAAACCAATTCATTAAGGCTTTATCTCCTCGCCATTCCTCCGGCACTGGCGAGAACAACGGAGCTTTCTATTGTCCGGAGAGCCCCAAACACCGTGCAGAAGCAACAACGGTATCGGGTTATGTATGTATCGGGAAAATCTTAAATACCCAATTCCGTCTTTTAAGTGTACCCCTTCTGTTGCGAAAGACGGGCCGCACAGCTGTATTAAACATTTGAAACTGTATCCCTTCCCTTTTTTTTTTTTAGCTGTCTTGCCTTTAAATAAGATCTGAACGCATATACAAATAGCGTTTTTGCTTGCGGTATAGCTTGGCTCTCAGACACACACGTTGGCCTGAAGTTTCGATTTCAGAGCATTTAATGAAAAGATTGTGAAAAAAAAAAAAAAAAAAAAAAAAAAAAAGACAACAAAACACAAACCCAAAGAGCTTATGAAAAAGCCTCCCAGGGGTTTGGATGTGGTATGTGAGCTGAAGTTGAGTACACGATTAATTAAACACAGTGTAGACACTGAGTTGGCTTCGCCTCTTCCCTCCAAAACATGCAAACCCAAATCATGTGAAATAATAAACAGTTATTGTAAGAAACAAGCTTGTTTTTTTAAAATATTATCCTATGACCGCGGCCGTCAGTAAACAATTCGTAACCAGAGGGCGCTTTAACTGCTGCTGGGGTCCCTTTGATTTATTCAGCCGAGTATTGAATGGGGCAGGGAAACAACAAGGGGAAAAATAAATATTTGATCAAATATGCTGAGTTTAACTTGACTGGTGTAAAATGAAATGTTGCAAAGGGACCCTCAAATGGCCCTACTCCTTCCCGAGACGTAGCTTCTCATGTCCTGACGTTGCCGAGGGGAGGTCAAAAGAGATCAACATCCCCGAGCTTTTAATGGAGCATCTTTGATGAAATCGATAGGTTCCGATAGTCATCTAAAAACTGCTCTTTGCCGACCGAGCATGTGCTTTTAACTGCACTTGCAACAGTTCCCTGGACGCACAATTTTAAAGGGCGCTTTCTTAAAAATTACTCCAGGCAAGTTGCACTACTTTACATACAAGAACAAGGACAAAATGATCCTTTTTTTTTTTTTTTTTTTTTTTTTTTTTTTTTTTTTTTTTTTTCCCGGGCAGATATTTTCAAACTGTATATGCTCTCCTAAGAAACATACGGATTAAAATATGTAGCTCAACCAATATTCACCCCATAGAATACCACCTTTCCTCCCGCCCTTCTCAAATGGAGACATAACAAAAACATGTGAAACTTTTATGGGCGAGAAAAGTAACCTGGAGTTAGGGATACTCGTAGCGAGGATAGAGTTTCAAAGCTACAACCCAGAGTAGCCCTGAGCACATGAGAATGTGTGACTATTGTTTGTTTACAGCACATGTGCTGGTTTAGAAAGATAGATACATAAAGAGGCAGATAGATGTGTGTGAGAGACAGAGGAAGAGACTCAAATCTGGTCTTGCACGAACATTGACTTAATATGCAATCACAGGAATATTTTTTAGCATAAGTGTGTCAAAACTTATTTACCACAATCTGTGTCCAGCTGCAAGGAAGCAGACTACCCTTTAAAGTTACCAAACGACCCTAACTAAACTACAGTTCAAGTCCAATAAGATCGTCAGAATTGTCTGTCATTTGCAGTCTGTGTTGCCATAGATCTATTTGATTGAAGACACCTACTGTTCCACACATAAATGTCAAGTTTCATAATATTTCCAGTGCTACAATTTTTTTTATAACTGGAAGAAAGCTACAAGTTACTCTGAAAAAATATTTCCAGATAACGTGGATTTTCCACGTGGCTGGCCAAAACTTAACGAAGAGAAAATAAAAGGTCAACTGCAACTTAGAAAGTCCCTTCTATATTATTTCACATCGCAACCACCAACTTTTTGCATCGCTTCCCACACCCCCACCCCCCCAGGGTTCTTCGTGGCGGGGCTCAGTGGCCGGGGGCAGGGGCCACCCCACCTCGCTAGGTACCACTCCGAGCACCGCACGCTCCTCGCCCTTCTCCACGCGGGCTAGATGTATAAAACACTTACCTTCGCGCATTTCCTAATTTTTAGGAAACTTTCACTCCACCGAGAAGCCCCAGCGGCTTCCCCACCCCGGCATCCCGAGCGGCTTTTTGCAACGCGGAGCCCGGTAAGTGCAATAATTACCCGTGTGGCTCCAGGGATGCAAAATGAACAAAGGCCAAGAGAATTTTTTTTTTTTTTTTTTTTTTTTTTTTTGTGTTGCAGGGCTGCTCCCCTCTCCCCGGGCGGCTTTGACATTGATCTGAAGATCGCCATCTTGTGGCAAAGCAGCCCCCAAACCGCCGCCCTCCGTCCGTCTGTCTGTCCGCCTGCCCGCCGGCCTGCAGGCGGACAGACAGACGGACGGACGGACGGCGGCGGCGGAGGAGGGCAGCGGCAGTTCCCCTCCCGGTAGAGAAACCTCCGCTGCCTTTCTGGCGATGCATTTCATACAGGACAGGGCGGACGAGTCGCGGACGCTTTATGGCCACATTGTCACAGCAACACAGAGGATGCGATTTTATTGGGCTAGGAAATCAAAACCCCGACCAGAGGAACTCCACGGTTTAACTGTCTCTGGGATTGGCTGTGAATGCCAGTTAATTTTTAACCAGGAAAGGAAGCTTGCTGGCTTAACTTTCATTGCCATTCAGCTCTTCATCCGTCCCTCTGTCCCTCTCCCTCCGCCCGCCCATCTGTCCATCTCCTTTCACCTGGCATTCCCCCTTGCATACTAGACAAACAAACAAACAAACAGAGTCCCCTTTTCCCTCCCTCGCTTTTTAACATTTCCTTTGGGTAGAAGTTGGCTGGCTGGGTGGCAGTTGTCAACAAAGGCCCAAAGTCAGTAAGTCCTTCACCTCAAGGTTATGGGTGATGTCCAAGCAATACAGAAGTTCAAAGCCAGTAAACAATGCGAAAACAGAATGTACTTTCTTCTCCTGATTAGGATTAGGGTCAACATTAAAGATTCTGACACTCTTCCCAAAGCACATTCCTATCTCAGCTATTATTTGGGGTTTGGGGTTTTCTTTTCCCCCTCTCCTAACTTGTTTCCTCCAACCCTCCTCCCCCTCACCCCCCCGCCCGCCTCAGTCCACCCCCTCTCTGCCTTGGAGATCAAGGACAATTTCAAACAGTCCATTTCCACCACACCGCCATGCGGATTTTTTTTTTTTTTTTTCCCCCAAAGACAACAATTTTCTTAGGGCTCTCACGCTTCTGGCCACATCCATCGTCTGGCTTGGACCTTCCCTTTGGTGCCAGGTTTATAAAATCTGCCCCAAACACTACCGACACCGCAAACATTTCCTGAGCATTTCTCCTGGACACATGTGGCAGAGAGCAAACAGCAATTTCACATCAACCCCTCGAGCATAGGGCCTTGCCCTGCCAGCGTTGGCAGGATAAGGAAAAGGCCTAACATAGCGAGCTATGAACATACTTCATTTTCCTTTTCCTGTGACCCAATGAAACGATGCCTGAACAAGCTTGGGTTCACTTGTTAACTCCGGAGTAGAAGATTTAGCGGCGAAGTTCACAAAAGAAGAATAATTCGCCCCAAATGACTGAACAAGGTCATGAGGAATTTCGGGTCCCAGAGTTACACCGGATAAAAGAACATGCAGTAACGTAACACCAGAGTAAAAATATAAAGTTTCCATTTTTTTATTTTCCTTGTGCGCTGTTCCACTGTATACATGCAACCAAATACTTTCGCATATTAAAAGAAAACTGTATATACATACAGATGATACATATAGAAAACAGTGATGTCATATAAAGATATTGCATTTCGTGAACCGTGTCAAAGAAATTACATCCATTTGGTAAAATTATTAATCAAAAAACATTCTTATCACCACTTTGTTGCACATGTAAAGAAATTCCACACCCTTTAGCCCCAAAGGAACAACAACAACAACAAAAAAAGAAACAGGGGGGAAAAAAAAGGCATTCGAATGAAATAGGTCATGGGTTCTTTTTTTATTATTTACAAGTCTTGTAAAACACTGTTCCTGTATGAAATATACATTCAGATATTCTCAACAGCAAATTACCTTAACGATAGAATACCGTATCCTTTGTAAACTGATATAGAATTTTAAATATTTTCCTTTTTTTTCTCTTTTCTTTTTTAAATTGCATTTTTTTTCACGCTTTGGTTCCTGCAGGGAAATATATATATTTATAGATATTTAAAATAACTCCGAACAACTCTCCATTCTTTGCATATGTCGACTGGGCGACAAAGTAGAGCTCGTGACATTTAAAGTAGACAACAACAAAATTACCATATTTACATTGTTTGGCTTCTGTTTAAACTCCTCACTAGTCACCTTTAACTGAACATGCGATCGAGTTATTTTAATGATCCAATGTTAGTGCATTGCACAACTCCAAGTTTCAATTAAGTGTTGTGTGGTATTTGCTAAACTGTCGTTCTCCACAGGTATTTCCTGAAGAAAGTTTGTGAGCCAGAAGCCAGAAGGTTAGTTTCCTTTATGGAGTTGTTTCTTTTAAAACGTTGAAATTCACACTTTTTTTGCCATTTTATTTTTAGTATTTAAATATGATTTGTCTCCGAAAAGATGGCAACGCATAGTCAGTTGTCATAAATAAAATGAGAGCTAATTAAAATTTGCTATTTTTTTTTTCAGTGATTGTTTCTTTACGATATATGGCGAATTTATACCTGATTTTTTTTAAAAAGTAAATAATTAAGTATTTCGTTTAGTTCTCTTTCTTCCCCCTACCCCCTCCCTCCCCACACCCCCAACGGAAACACTATTATAACCATCACTACATCCATATTACAACTGCTCGCGGTTGGCCTAGTGAAGGTGTAGGCATGTCAACCCCCCCCGCCTTTAATTCTCTGTGTGTGTGTCACACACACACACACACACACACACACACCCCTCCTTAAATTCTCCTTTCAGACCCATGGGCAATGGAACACTGCCTCTAACCTAGACATTTTCCACCAAGGAAGGACAAAAGATTATTTCTCAGAGTTGATGCTCTGCAGTGGTCCTGCTTGGGTGAGCTCGACCTGGCGATCTCCAGCCAGCTGCTGTGCAGCAGCACAGGGGCGAGGGAGGGCCGGGGGGTGGGCGAGTCCGGGGACGGAGGGGTGCCGTCCCCGCCCGTGACTGCCGAAAGCGGTAGCAGGGGGAGCCGCAGTGCCTGGAAAGGTAAGAGGTAAGGATTTTGCACTCAGAGGTGACGTGCCCGTTTAGAAATGGATGCCATGTGTGTCAAAATCGAATCGATTCCAGTTGATATGTAAATATATATATGTATGTATAAAAATGCATCACTGAAGTTCCAGAGTAGATTTACATGTATGTAAAATCTTGGATTCTTCTAGTCCCGACAGATACACACCTCCTTCCTCCACGTAACCCCGTGGCTTGACCTTGTCAAGGGCGAAATCTGAATTTAATCTCGTCTTGAAAAACGCTATGAGTTTTAAAGTAGTGGATTAGCTGAGTAATATTGTAATCGGTCCCTGTTAATTTTTTTTTCTTTCATTCTTCTGTTCTGAAACCATATTTTCACTTGGCGGTCGGTCAGATTGAGCATTCGGGAGAGCTGGAGGCGTTTCTCTTTGTTTATGTAGACACTGAAGAAGAATTCCCTTTCTAACTCTCTGATCTGATATTTGGTGTATGGGCATCTCTTTTTACGGGTACGTTGTCCACCTGTGGAGTGGAAAAAGGCAGAAGCGTTTGAGACCCAGCGGTGGCCGGCGGCGGGGGCTGAGCAGGGATTGGGGGGACGACGACGACGACGACACGCTCAAGAAAAACACATTAATATGGAAAATACGCATTTTGCCCGCTCCGGGGCCGGAGTTGGCCGGTCGGATGTTGGGCGCCAGCCCCTCCGCTTTGGTGGTTGCGGGCAGCCTGGGACCGAGACCCGCCGGGACCCACCGGGACCCACCGGGAGCCGCCGGCTCCCGCAGCGCCGCGGCCCCGGACCCCGGGCAGGGCGAAACCCCCCGCCGAGACGCGGAGCTCCGGCCTCGCTGCCTCCGCGGGGAGGGCGGCCGGAGGAAGGAGTGGTGGTCGGTGATGGCGGGGGGGGGGTGGTGGTGGTGGGGAGATGCTGTTCCTGCGGATTTCACGAGCGGGAGGAAAGCCTTTGTAGGCTGCTCCGCCGGGCGCCACGCACACGGAGCGGCCAGCACCTGGCTGCGGGCGGCGGGGGGTCCGGCGCCCAGCCCTCCCCGAGCCCGCTCCCGCACGGATCTCGCCCCCATTCCCCGGACTAACCCCGGCCCTTCGTCCCCAGCGGAGGAAAAGCCCCTGAGCCCGAGGCTAAGGCGCCTCGTTTTCCCCCCAGCCGGCTATTTTCAAGCCCGCTCTCCACCGCATCGAGGTATTCTCCTCTCGATTAGCCATTACGGTTTTAAAGTTCATTAAGCAGAATATAAAAGGTTTCAAGGTTCAGGAGCTCCCTACATTAAACGTAGCTGCTATCCCTTTAAAAACTTCCTTTTCTGGTACAGTTCATTGTCGAGGTATTTTTCCCTCGAGCCGTATACTAGCTTTGCCTTTTAAAAAGCCCACATAAAAAAATCAGACTTTGACAGATTGAATAACAATTGTAAGTAACAAACTGTTGGACAGAAGGCAACACGTAATTGCCACAGTGCCTTAGTAAAATGGCTTCCTTTAGACAAAAAGGCCAGCTTTAGGTTAATTTGTTTCTTTTAATATATTGCTACAGTTCAGGCGGCTACTTTATCTGTTAAACGCTATTCTAGTGCAATCGTTAAAACGGCGAAGGCTTTGAATTCACCTCCTAACTAGACTTCTGGTGCAACACATGGCTTTTATAAAATCACTGGATTACATTGATATCAAAGGAGTCGGGATCTCCTTTTTTTGCAGAATTTACAGGCACCGAACGTACGTTATTATATTTTTGAGAGTTGACCACAGAGCTCTTTTTTATTATTATTTAAAAAGGAAAAAAAAAAAAAGAAAGAAAAAAAAAAAAAAGAGGAAGGAGAAAGAGAATTTTTTTTTAAGGCATCCATTGCCCGGTGGGTATTTCACGGCCAATTTCAGCACTAAACACGTGATCTCGCCTTTTATAACAAAGTTTTGTTGGGGGAAATCTAAAGGCCCTTCATAAACCTTATATGCTTATAAAACAGCATATAAAAATTTAACAGCGGCAGTGCGCTAGATTTCAAGCTGCCTTTCCGAAAAGCGCTCGGGCGCTGCCTTTATACGTACTGGAGCTGCCGGATTTCTCCTCATTGTTGCCGGAAGATGACTCGGGGCTGCTGCTGCTCTCCGGCCGCCTCCGCCTCTCCTTCTCCGCCGCCGCCGCCGCCGCCGCCGCCGCCGCCGCCCTGCCGCAGCCGCCTTCCGAACTTGAAGTTGCCGCCGCCGCCGCCCCGGCGGCCGCGGGCGCCTTCTCGCCACTCTTGTCTACCGGGTAGTCCGCCGAGGCCAGGTTTTCCGCCGTGCCATAAGCCGTCTCGAAAAACTGGTCGAAAGCCTGGGGCAGGACCCCGTTCCTGCCCACCGTGCTATAGAAATTGGAGGAGACGTTGGTGCTGGGGTGGTAGACGTTAGCTGTGTTTTTGCCGAACATCTCGCCCATGCTAGCAGTGTTGGTGGCAGGCAAGCAGTCTCTGTGCATGATCTCCTCTGCGGAGTAGCAGTGGGGCAGATTGTTCCTGGGGTGCCATTTACTGGAGGGATCAATGGCATATTCCCTGAAGGTAACTTCTCTCACAGGTTGGACCTGGGGTAGGTTGGAGGAGTAGGAGTATGTCATAGGGCGAGAAGACGGGGTCTGGGGCAAAAAAGAAGGGAGGCTGGAAAAATCAGGACCCGAGACGTAGTAAGTACAACTTGGCAAATACATGTTAGAGGAACAAGGAACACGCTCATCAAAATCCATCATTAGGGCTACCTCGGCTTCTCCGCATTAGCTGAGCTTAACATGATTCTCTAACGCAGCTGCCTCTTTGAAGCAGATCCGTGAAGTAAGAGATGGGGAGACGTAAGCTGACGTGGAAAGCTCTCCCCGGCGGCGGCAGGGAGGTGCGGTCACGTGGCCCGACGTTGACATTGACGAGCGGCGGGTCCGGGCCCCGCTCCCTTTGTGGCCATCGCGGGGGGAAGCAACAGCTCGTCGCCAGCGCCTCAGGGCGAGCCGAGCGAGCGCAGGTTGCCCCGGGAGGGGGGTGGGGGGGGTGGGGGGGGGTGGGGTAGGGGGGGGGTTGGGTGGGGGGGGTGGTGGTGGCCGTTGAAGGAGGGGACACACGCACACACACACACACAAAGCCGCCTTGCCACTGCCCCAGCCTTAGCCGCCCGGCCAGTGGCACCCGCCGGCTCTGGAGTAGAGAGGCTTAGCAATCCTCCCCCCCCCCCCCCAAAGGGTTAGGTGAGACCTTTCTGTTTGTTTGGGCGCTTGCCGGGGCGTTCGGCGGCTCGCCTCCGAGAAGGAGGGCACAGGAGAGGTGCAGGCACGGTTTCTTCTGGAAAGCTGCTTCCCAGCAGCAAACGCTCCCGAAGAAATTCGGCAGACGGGTTTTTGCTTTCTTTTTTCTTTTCTTTTCTTTTTTTTTTTTTTTTTTTTGTTTTGTTTTGTTTTGTGTGTGTGTTTGTTTGTTTTTGTTCGGTTTGGGCTTTCTCCCCCTCCTCCCGAAAAAAAAAAAAAAAAAAAAAAAAAAAAGGGAAAAAAAAAGCCCTCTCCCCGCAGGGTTTTTCTGGAAACGTTACTAGGAAGAATGTGCCAGGGTCAAGTCTGTACTGATTTTCATGGTGAATAGATTACATGCTTGCATTCATGTTCACTTCCGAAGCGCTTAGTGTCTTCCTTCCCTTACTTACATATTAACCTCAAATACCCCGCGCGGCTTCAGCCAAGCTTTACTGGAGGTAGTTAACAATATCGGGGTCCCAGGACGCAGGTTCTCCCTCCTCACCCCCTCCGAACAGTCCCTTCCCTCATTCGCAACGCCAGAAAGCCCTTTAAATTGCAGACCACGGAGCTGGAGAGAGTTTGCTGATCTCTCCGCCTCAACGCTGCCGCTAAATACTTGGAAAACCAGTGGATGTTGGGCTGCCCCGGCTTGACAAATACTCGAGTTTAATTGCCAGAAGCCTAGTTAAAATTATTTGACATACAGTTAACCCCTAGGAACAAACTTGCCGTACCGAGATACTTTCCTTTTTGCTTCGTACCGTCGCTGAAGGCTGAGACCCAGGGAGACCTTTTTTAAAAACGTGGTTAAACTTTTACTATTGTTGCATGAAAGGGATGATATAGAAAGCGGATTGTTCAGGGCAGAGACTAAAAAGTACTTCTCTGCCAATAAAAATGCACACCCCACCGAATGAGCAGAGCCAAAGAAAACAGAGAAATACGCCAAAGAATACAGCACCTTTTGAGGCACGGACATCCCTAGGCTCTCGGAAAAAATATTTTTTTGCTATTCTGATGCTCGATTTCAGAGAAGAAATATTTGGGTTCCGGCTGGATTTCATCAAAATAGAAAAACAGAACGGCAAAAGGCTATTGTGAAGTCGGTGCTCTTAGGAAATTAGACGTAGTTCAAGATCCATGCCCCCGTGGACTTTGGAGGCTAATGGAAGGGAAACGAAAATGTTAGGGAAAGAATATTTGGATTTTCCACCCTCTTCCTCTGCAGTGTTGTGGAAGTATTTATATATCCGGAGAAAGTTCTCTAGTAAATTCTGGAGATCTTCGGTATTTAAATGTCAACATCGATTTGTTTATTTATTGCTTAGCTTATCGTAACTGACTCAATAACAAATCTAATCATGTTGTGCACAGAGAAAATATTCTCATTATGTATTTTCCCTACATTATAGTTAACTATTGCGTTTGAATTCAAGCTGTAAATTCAATATTATCAAGTAATTACTTTGTAGTGGAGTAAACTAATTTATTAGCATTAATGTTTATATGCCTTTTTCTGATTTTACAAGGGTTACCGTTCACAAATCAAACGCTCTGGACGTATCCCTGTAATGAACTCTTTATTTTGGTTTGCTGCAAGAACTTCTTATGCTTACTGCATGTCTGCGAGCTGAACTTGAAATTAGTGAATTAATCTTCCAGCTTGACATATTTGCTAGAAAGTGGATGGAAGGAGATTGCATGTCGTCAAAACCACTAGCAGAAGACTGCAGTGGCGTTTAGGGATTGTAAAAGGGTTTGGGGGTTTTCCCTCTCTCTCCCTCTCTTTTTTTTTTTTTTTAAAAAAAAAAAAACAACAAACAAAAACCCCTTGAGGTGGGGTGTTCATGAGCTCTGGTTGGCTTTTGCCTCAACGCTATACTTTTGCTCGCATGTAATTTCCCCCCCTAGCTTTTGCGGGGGGTGGGGGGTGGGGTTGGGGGGGTCGGAAGCCCTCTTTTGGTATCCAAGCACTGTTTATTTTCCCTGTGTCCCCCCACCCTTCCATTCCGTCGATGAAAAACCTCTCCCCACACCCTGAACACACGCAGACACCCCTCCCTTCAAACAAAAAGGAATGTATAAGGATTTCAGTGACTTTGAGATAACAAAGGCGCCACCATTGCAGAGCCTCGCCCCGCCTCTGTGCGATGGCAAACAAATTCTTGCACTTGTATTAGGGCTTTTAAGGCTATAATTGAACACGGCGCGTCTAGGAGAACCGAAAACAGTTCTAGACTGACCTGCGGTTTTATAGCACTTTGGCAGTCAACTTCAGCTTGTGTCAGAGCAGACATGACAGAGCTGCCCAGCGCTTAATCGCGGGACGCCACCTCCTCGGACTCACTGCAGCCCCCCTCTTGCATTTCAATAAATTTCAAACCTTGGGGCTAGAAATGGGGAGCAGAGCTGGCACAGGTTTGTATGGGGCTCTTTCCCGCTCCTCTCTGCAGCCGGGGCTGTGGCGCCGTGCGAGGCTCCGCCGTGCCAGAGGTCGGGGCTGCCTCTGGGAAACAAAGGGAAATTAAGGCAAGAAGGGCGAGAAGGCGACTGGAAATAGGCGTGTGCGTGGGTGTGCGTGTGTCTGGGCATATGTGTGCTTGCACAGCATGCACACGTGCAGCCCCGATGCCTACTTTTGAATCGCTCGAGCTGTCTGTCGTGTGTGTGTCCCCCACCCCACCCCCTTCCCGCGCCTCCCCAAACCAAGCAGCCTATTTCTTCAAGCGGGTTTGCAACGCAAGGGGACCCCAAAATGTCTCCCGGTTCCGCCTGCAGAGCAAGCGGGGAGGGCGCTGGGGGAGGCTGCGAGGGGTGCAGCTCGTCTGGGGGCGAGTAGACACCCAAGGCACAGGCTGCTCTCTGCTTTATTTGCTGTTAAGTGAAACAGAGATAATGTACGCTTAAAGCCCCGGAATGTGTGGGTAATTGCAGGGAGCCTGCTGTTAAGTTGCTGTGTTCAGCACAATTATCAATGTTGATTATTTGGTCTAATGTTGAATTGCTCTTTTAATACAGTAATTGGGACTTCCGCGTTGAGGAAGGGGGAAAATCGAGCCTTCCCCTCGCTAACCTCACTGAAAACAACATAAACAAAGGCAGGCATTTCGTTTGGAGAAGCAAAATGCATTCGTTACGCCTTCCCATGTATTTCGGCCGGATTAGAGAGGGTAAAACTGCTCTGAATTTGGGAGCTCTGCTGCAGGACGTTTTTGCAAAGGACAAGCGTGGCCAAGAGGTGGGGAGACTGTGAGCACATTTACCCACAGCTAAGCTAAACAAAGCGAGGGAAAAAAAAGCTACATCTCTTCTTTGGACGAATATAAACAGAGCTAGGACGCCTCGATAGTCTAGCTTTTATATATACAGATGGCGTGCAAAGGGAACTGTTTAACTTACTACCGCTCGTCTCCAAAAGGTCAAGTTCTATAGTATCTAAATTGTTGTCTTTTTGTACCGGGATTTGCTTGAAAAATTTTGAAGCCGGCCATTTACCTTGCCAATAGGGTGGGTGCCTGTAATTAACAGGGGAAACGTGTGCTAAGAGGAATTTGCGTCAAGAGGAGCTAATTAAAATATTACACGATCGATGGCTTCAATCGCTGCTACTCCTCTCGCATAGGAAGGGTGAGGGGCGTTACGGCTCGAACAGGAGAAAATATCTCAGGAATTAGGACCGTGTTTCGTAAACTTGCGGGTTGATTACAGTCTACGAAGGCTTATTAGAAAAAAGGTAATATTGGGGAATTCGCAACGTTGTTGCCAACGAAAAACGCAACCCCTTCCCACCTTTTCCAATGAAAATAAGGCCAGAAGGAGATAATTCTTCGCTAGATTTACCAGGAATGTAGCTTCAGAAAAGCGTGCTTATTGTTTGGATTTTAAATATCTCGGGCTCAGAAGTTCTTAACTGGTGTTTCTTCTTTTCTGTTTTCCTTTTTGAACGTTATGGAAAGGAGCTATACATGGCCATCTTTTTTTAAAATATTATTTTTTTAAAAACTAAATATGTTCCCTTAACACTGCAATGAAAGGTAGCGTTACAATACCTAGATAAGATTTTTCAAATAATTTGAATAATAGGCGATTTTTGATATTGGCGAGATGGAAGCATCGTGCTGTGATATGGGACAGAGTATTTATTATCCAAAACCTGAAGCGTTATCGTTGTGATTTTGCTAGGAAACTGCAGAATACGTGTAAAGAGAAAGGGCAGATGTAATCAGGATCCAAGTCAAGGTTATTCTGACTTTTGTTGTTATCTTTAATCGCGTAACATTATTTCGGAGACTTGAACATCTTAAAAGGCTGCGCTCATCTGGGCGTAGAGTATTTTAGATTGATTTTTTGGTATCAATTAGGGAAATCTTTTCTTTCCTCTGTCAGCTTCTCTGTCTTTTTAAGTCGTTGAGATGGAAAAGCTTCGGGGGATGGTTGCTTTCTTCCTCCTCCCAACCCTCCTGTTTAGTTTGACCATTAGGATTAAACAGCTACGGACCTAGAGAGTTCTCCCTGTCGCTGGCGACCTACCATGATATTTTGCATCCCTTTGCGCTGATGAACATCCGAGGGCTCTATCTGAAGGCAGACCCTGACTTCGATAGCTGCAACAAGCCGAAATATCGAGGCCTTTTTTTCAAGAGAGGAAGCTACAGACAATTTTTCATTTTTTTGAGACCTATTTTCTTGCTCTTTTGCAGCCAAACGATTTATTGGTGTATCAGACTCCCGGCGCCTTCACAAGCACGGGGAGTTTCTCATAACACCGTGTCTCCTCGCCCCCCGGTTCCTCAGCTCCGGGGTGCTCAACCCCTCCTAAGTTTTGTTTACATTTACTGCTCGTAGCTTGCTTCTGAACGAGAATGGAGGTAGATTTGCCAATAAGGGGGGCATAAGGAAGTATTTTCTCAAACGGCCAAGTATATCAGAAATTGATTGACTGATGATGCTATCATAAATGTCTCTCTTTTTTTTTTTTTTTTTTTTTTTTTTTTCCGTTGAATGCTCTGCGAGACTTTCCCGACACAGCAAAATGCACATCCAGTCATTCATTTTCTCCCCCATCTGTTCAGATACAGGTGCAAGAGACTTCTGGCAAAAATAGGGTGGGGGAGACGGGTGCCTAGACCAAGCGGCGGGCTCTAAAACGAGTGTGAAAGCAAATTTCCCTGGTTATAATTCGCCGGTACAGAAAAGCAGGCACTTTCCACCGACCGCCACCCAGACCCACAAAGAACCGGGTCGTTAGCGCCGTTTGTAGTGAGCAGGTACCAGTCCCCTTTCATGACGACGTATTTTATGTGGAATTAATCAGAGCGGTTTAGGGAACATCCCCAGCAATCCCTTGAAAGTGCGGTGCTATTAAACGACGCGGTTATCCCTACGGACGACCACATCCCAGGCGATGTTCCCATGCAAAGTTCACCCGCAGCCAGGAATGCCGCTTTACCCTACACATTAAAAAAAAAAAAAAAAAAAAAAAAAGAAAAAAGAAAAAAAAAAAAAGTCCGCCAAAACATTCCCATGTCGACTTACGTTTAAAAGTATTGCTACAACTGGTGCCTTGAACTTGACCTTAGATTTGTTAATCCAGGAAATATATTCAGTGAGAGGAAAAAAATCCTACTGCGTTGCCTCTGACAAACGAGTATTTTTCTGCCTATCAATTCAGGATGCAAACAACACACCAGAGTTATGAGATATATAAAGTGCCCTCTAGATTAAGAGCAAAAAGCTACAGAAAGCAAACAGCCTCAACACTGAGACAAGCTCGTCGTAGCTAGACTGTTCCTGTGATGCCAAGATCCACACTTTGCCACAGAAGTTCGAGTCAAGGTAATCGACTGGGATTCTCAGCTAAATTGAATTTTATAGGATATAAGGTTCTCTCTAATGTTCATTGAATTTTAATAGTGATTTATAAAGGTATTTATTTTTTTTCTTTCTTTTTTTTTTTTTTTTTTTTTTCATTTTGCCCAGCTCGCCAAGAATCACATCAGATTTTACTGTATCACACTGCTAACTTTATAGGAGAGCCTTACGCACATATCATGAAACCCACCAAAGTAAAAGATATTTCTTCATCAAGGATTGTTTTAGGGGGCGGGTACAGGAAGTATCACTATACCGGGGCTGTCAAATCAAGGGCTTCAAAGCCTCAACTTCATATTTTGATGGACTCACGGAATTGCATTGTAATGAAGGTACCTGTACTTGTGTAACCTTTACAGGCAGCTATTTGAACAACACGAGCTTAGAATACACGCAGCAATTGAGGATGCAACCGTGTGTCCACGTACAGCTCAGCCGGCTCTAGAAGTATCGCTTCTCGTCTGTTCTCTCATATGTAACGCAAACATACCCATAAAAATAGCTCTCCCTCTGAGCCTAATATGGCTGCTTTTGCCTATGCTGGGGTGGAAACTCGCTCACGGTCACGCTTATTTCCCTTTCCCAACTTTTCAACAAACGCTGATACTAATATCACTTCTTACAGAAATCGGGGCACATCAGCACGACAGGTCCACACCACAGAGGCCGGGGGAATTTGGGCAAAATCCCCCGAATCAGACTAGGAGGAGTGTGGGGGTTGCTCGTCCATTCTCTTTCGGTTTTATTTTCCCATCAAGTGTCTGTACAGCACGGTATTTTATTTTTTTAAACCCTCACATACTTAAACATAAACCAAACGCTAGCTGGAGATGAAGCTCATCCAAGATTGTTTGTATTAAAATCCATAATTTTTTATGCCTAGCCGAGAGCATCCCGAAGGCTAAAACCAGACGTAAAATACCCTGCTTTTCCATTACTCCTGGCCCAAGCCGACCAGAGAGGCTGATTTATGCAATCAGGAAAAAATTAAAGCACTTTGCTTGGTGCGTTCAAATCAAGGCGATAACGGCAAAGTTCAGATTAGTTTAATCTGGCAGGTTACAACACCCAGCTGGCATTTTACTCTCTAGGTACACACAGGCAATGGTGAAAAGCAGACAGGTCAAACATCCTTCCCTTGCTTTCTTCCACGCAGAGCCGTCCACCCTCCTCCCTGGCTCTTGAACGATTAAAATCATTTCAAAGGCAAACACACGGGCATAAAACAACTGGGAAGAAAAACCAGGAGCTGCTTTTCCACACAGCTTGAACCCGACTCTGCAAGACAACCCGGCGCAGCACAAAGCCAAGCATCCAGCAGCTCTATCTACAAGTCTGCCCGTGTCTTGGGCTCTGACCCCAGCCTCTCCTGGCCCACGCTTCTTTCTGCCAAGAGCTTTCTTTGCTTTCCACCTATTCTAGGCTGGGAAGCAACACCTCTGGGAAAGGTGGAGCCAGCACCCAAGCTAGGAGAAGCAGTCTTACTTTTCTCAACCGGCTCTTCGGCTCTATTAGCATCAGCCCAGGCAGCCTTCTTCACTTCACCCAGGTCCCCACAGCAGAAGCAGCCTCATACACCGTGGGAGAAAGGGAGCAGGATGGGTGGGTGGGCTGGGGGGGGGGAGAGGGGGCCTGGGAAACCCTCCACAAAGGCCTTCCAAATGACTTTGCTCCAGTCATACAGGGGGCTTTGCGGAGGGACTGGGTGGGTGTTTGTTGTTGGCTTGTTTGCTTAATTCACCACGGAGCAGGGGGAGAGGAGAAACATTCAGCCGTTTCCAGGAAGAGCATGAAAATCTTACCCCAGCATCCAGAAGTCTCTCGCCTGTGCAAAAAATATATCCCCACGGAGACTGACAGCTAGGATCCCGCGCTGGGTTGTAGACCTCCAGATCAATGAGGATGGATTGCACATTTTTTGGTTTCCTCCCTTACAGATTAAATATACCCGGTCCACAAAACATTCCTTCTTGATCTCTCAGTGACTTGGGTTGCTGTTGATTTGGGGTTTTATAGTTTTTTTTTTGTTCTAGTTGTTGGTCTGCCTTTAGACGGAGAGAAATCTAGCCACTAGGGCACATCGTCCTTTCTGCCAGCTTCAGGCAAAATGCAGCAATATCACAGGCTAATGACGATTACTGCTGTTATTATTACTACTATTATTCCTATTTATTTTTCCTCTCTCTCTGTCTCTCCTGGTCCCCTAGGATTTCCGATGACGATTTGCATAAAAGGTGATTGCAGGAGGCTAAAATGCTGTCTAATTCCACGGATTCTCATCGCACGAGAAAGAGAGGGAAAAAAAAAAAAAAAAAAAAGTCCCAGTGTTTTTGATCACGGGACACCCGGCCGTTCCTCCCCAGTACACCCCGGGTCACAGTACAGTAATGACCGTGGGTTGTGCGTTGTAGGACTTGACCTTTCCTACGTAGAAGAGGGCGCTTTCCTCTACGCTACGGGGAGGGAAGGGAGGGGGGAGCGGCGGGAGGAAGAGAGATGCTCTCTTCGGGGATGTTTAATCACAGTTCAGATCTAGGAACGGGCAAAGCTTCTGCCTTTCAGCACGCCATGTTGAAGCTATTCACTGGAGAAAAAAAAAAACAAAAAAACAAAAAAAATTTTTTTTTTTTTTGAGGGGGGTGCGGAGGCGGGAGGGAATCCGGAGGGAGGAGGGAGGGAAGGAGGAAAGACTTAATGAACATTTGCATTTCGTACCCTAGTTCATGAATCAACTGCATTCAAGGGGGAGGGGGCCTGGGGGACAGGGAAGGGCTCACGGCGTGGTTAAAACACCCGCGGCCGGACCTCTGCGGCCGCAGCCGGCGTGCATCGGCCCAGCCTGGCAGCTACCGCCCCACGTTCCCGCCAGCCCACGCGGAAAAGTCGGCCCCCGGTGTGTGTGTGTGTGTCCCTCTTCTTTTTGGATCATTTACTGGCCGAGAACGCGCAAGGCCATCTCTTCAAATCATCATTAAAGTGCATTAAAACGCATCTAAAAGTTATGAATGGCAACAAACGGCCTTTTAGCGCCTGCCAATATTTTTTTTGTATTAAACGCTGTCTTGATTTTATTGCTAACGCTGCCCACGGAGAATGCTGAAATGCACCAGGAATGGGGTTTTATTTAAGCCATAGCCTTTTTTTTTTTTCTTTTTTTTTTTTTTTTTTTTTAAAATAACTTATATTTATAGGCTAAAGGCCCAGATGCTTACCAGTTCGTTCAGACGCATACAAAATAAAGTCGCTGCTCTGGAAGCAAAGGGCTATTTTCTTTTCTGATCATTTCAATATTGAGCACCATATTTTTTTTCTGTTTGCTTCAGAGGCCATCTCAGCTAGCGAGGGTTTTTAAGAGGGAGTCTTTCTGAGCAAAAGGCAACCCAAAAAAGATACAGCTTTGCAGTTCTACTTATCATTCCTTTTCGGAAATATGCTCCTGTCAAGGTTTATTTCCCATAGCAAACCACCTTTGCTACTGCCAAGAGCTCGAGGCGGGGATAGATTAAATACCGGATTATTCTCTTGGTGGGAAAAAATACAAAACATTTGCTGTACCCTTCCATCTGCATCAAAGACTTAAGGCCATTTTCTGTCCATGGGAATTTCAAAGCTGAAGGACCAATGACGCTCAGAATTAGGTGATTATAAACCAATGTATCCAGACACTGGGAATGAAAGTATACGTTGCTGAAACCAGCAATAATTACTTGAAGTGAAACCAAACTAATCTTTTTTGTCTTCAATCATGTTTAGCGTTTTACACTGGGAATGAAATATCGCTCTGACATTAATGCTTCAATAAATACGCTAAATATACAGTAATAACTTGCTCCCTCTGTCCCTTGCATCTCTCTGCACATCCGCTAAAATGTTATACCTAACATTTGAAATTCTAGGCGAGCTGAGAAAACAGAGACCCTACTTTGTTTGTGTACGTTTTGTTTTTTATTTTTGTGTTTGTTTTCTTTTCAAATCCTTCTTCCGGCACTTTTTTTTTTTGTTAACGTCTGCAAATAAAACTCGCATATGTAACTCTACACAGTGAGCCAGGCACAATAAGTTCCTCACCACCATTTTAAAACATTCTATGTAACGCGGGGAATATAAATAACAATTCTCTCCGAACCGCGTGCAGGGACGGGCGTCGTGAAGTAATGTATCACGTTGCTTAATTATTTTCGTTGGTGATATATTTACTTGTAAAATATATTAGGGATGTATTTTAGGACGCTGGCGGCAGATTGGTGAGAGGGGAATATGTAATACAACAGCAATTTGTACTTGAAAATGTATGTGCCAACAGCTTTTGGACGGTAAATGAAGGTAATAAATAACACGAACACACACACCTACACACCCGCTCTCCCCTGAGCTCCGAGGCCACATCTACCCGGCGGACGGACGGAGGGACGGGGACGCGGGGGGCTGAGTGGGTGCAGCCGTGGGTAGGCAGACACGCGGAAGGACCGGGACGGGGCCGGGAGGGCACGTAAGCCCCGCAGACAGGGAATCTCTCCCGACTCGGAAAACCGAAGACACCCCCGTCTCGGTGCCCGGAGCCGCCGCACGGCCGCGGCGCGGAGGGTTCCGCCGGGCACCGCGGCTCCACGCAGCCCCCCCCCCCCTCCACCACCTCCGCCTCGGGGTGCCCCGGTGAGCGAGGCCCGGAGCTCCCGGCCTTTACTCACCTGACCAAGTCACTCGCCCACGGGGGACGTTTCCCGAGCGGGGCCTGGGGCAGGGCCCGAGGGGAAGGCAGCGGGTCCGAGAGAAGCCGCCGGCCCCGTGGGACCGGGCGCGGAGCCGCCGGCGCGGTCACCGCTCGCCCGGGTGTCCGGGGTGGGGGGACGGGACGGGACGACGACACTCCGGGGGGGTGGTGGAGCCCCGCCGCGGGCCCGATCCTGCTCCTCTGCCGGGGTTCCCCTCCGCCGCAGGGCTGGGAAACGCGACCTGCTCCTCCTGCTGAAGCCCGCGGAAGCCTCGACGCTGACTGACTTAGATGGTAGCAGGGGTCCGATCCAAAATGTTACCTTACTCCAGCCAGCGATCGCGAGTCAAACGCTCCCCTTTTTACCCTGTGAAATATATATGCGGCACAGCTATTTGAACAGTAGTGGGAATTTAAATTCGCTAATCCACGGTCAGTCTAGAAATGCTTAGCAGATTTGAACGGTAGGCAGTTCGGTGTGAAAACATAATCTTCAAACGCTAGCTCCGATTAAAAGTGACCTTAAAGAAAAAAAAAAAAAAAAAAGGGGGAAAAAAGCTTTTATTTTACTAATGTCGGCCATATTCTTGCGGTGGGTTTCTTTCGAGGCGCCCCTGAATTACATTGCTCTGGGGGATGGTGTGAAAGTAGAAGATCCTGCCTAAGATACCGAGGACTCGAATCCTGCCTATCACTCACATCTCCGACCTGTAATACATGTAATTTGCGACGCGTCTCACGGAATAATTATACAGGTTGCGAAATATAACGGAATAAACATAATTATTCACTCCAAGCGAGAACAAGTGCAAGTCACAAGTGGCTTTCTGCAGGCAATTTAGCTCCTTCAAGAGAAAGCGTTGCAATGAGACGGAGGAAAGGCGGCAGTGCGGTGCCTGCCGCCGAGGCAGACCCATGGGTGTCTGCCCGTGGGTGGCCGGTACCGTCGGTGGGAGACGGGCCCCTGTAACCAGCCCACAGGCCCCGACCTCCTCGCAGGGTGCAACCGGGCAGAGCAGCTGCCCAAGGCTCCGGCAGCCCCGGCTCCTCCGCAAATCCCAGGCCGCGGGGCTCCTGCGCGGGTGGTGGAGGCTGCTGCCTCCTCAGTGGGTAGCGGGCATCCCACACGGCTCCAGTCGCCTGTGGGCAGCCCAAGACACTGCCCGCCAGGGATGGGTTCTTGGCCCCTCGGGCGGTGTCGCGCCCGTGGGGCTTTGCCCGTGGTCCCTCTCTCGGCGCCGCAGACAGCAGGCAGGCCGAGTCCTTGTCATAGGGGGCTGTCCCCCGTCATCTCAGAGGGACACGCAGTCACCCCCAAAGCACAGGCCAGCCGCACGGCCTGGAAACCAGCTGCCGCTTAAGTACCTCTTCCCGGCTGTTTTCGCAGTGGGACGGAGAGAAATACCCCTCAGAAAGTCCCTGGCCGGCCTGCGAAGGGATGCAGCCGATATTCCCACGCTCCGCGGCCGTGGGTTTCCCGTGGCCTGAGAAACCATAACGCTCCGCGGCTCCTTCGCGCCCCGAGGGATGCGAGCGGCGGGCAGATAATGCATCCGCACACCGCGGGAGGGCTAAAATCCCGCACGGAGCGTAAAGCCCCCGGCACGGCAGCCTCCTGGAAAACAGAGCTCGCTCCTGCAGGTACTTCTCATGTAAGTTATTGCGCGAATGCGTTACAACCAGATCTGAGGGTCGGAAAGCGCTCCGCGCTGATCCCCGCAGAGGTGGGTCCTTTTGAATTTCAGCAATGTAAGGCAAGAAGCGCACAGCTCGCGCGGTATCTGATACCCTCTAAATGTACCGTAAAGGTCCCCCAATAGCTCTAATTAGAGCTGCAGACCACCGCAGGAGTCAGGCGGCGAAAGCAAACCTCTCTTTGTGCCCGACCAAACTCGCCCCCGCCACTCACGACACCGACCGCCCGGCGGCCCCTCGCCCCGCACCGGCGGCCCCCAGCCCCCGCACCGCCTGAGCAACCGACTTCCACCCCCGGCCCGGCCCGGCCGCAGCCGCGGAGAGCAACCTGCTGCGCTCTCCGCCTTGCGAGCTCAGCCCTATCACAAGCGATAAGGGCGTGCGGCAGGTCCCCACGCGTGTGCGCACCCGCCCGCGGGGGAGGATGCCGCGCGGGTGCGGGCGCGGCGGCGGCCACGAGGTGGCGCTGTCGGCCCGCGGATGCCGCCGGCGCGCGGAGCTGTCAAAAGTCAAGGTCACAAATCGGCTTTTTTTTTTTTTTTTTCCCCTTTTTTTTTTTTTTTTTTTTTTTTTTCCCCCTCAAGGTCAAGGTTTCGGGCCTTCCCCCGTCCTGTCATCGCCACGCAGCCCCCCGCCACGTTCCCGCCGCGGCCTCGCCGGCCCGGGCAGCGTCCCCCCGGCCCTGGGGCCGGCGGCCGGGCTCCATTTCCCGGCGAGGGCTGCAGCCCTGCGGGGGTGTCATCCTGCTCTTCCTCCCCCTGGCCCCCCAGCCCCGCTGCAGAACCACCGTCTCTCAATACCGAAACATTTATAGTTTAGGAAGGCTGGTTACCAGGCGTGCCTGCCCCCAGATAAACACCGTCCAGGGGAAAAA